AGATGCTGCCACAGGTGAGTAGGGCAGGGCTCCTCTGTCCAACAGCCTGGCCTGGCAGCAGCAGCCAAAGCTGCAGAGGGGGCATGTGAAGGAACCCAGAGCTACACAACCTTTTGGGGGGCAGCTTCCCCCCAGCTCCTGTCCCTAAAGTCTGGCTCATGGACCAGAGCAAAGGGATTTATGCCAGTTCCAGCTCCTGCCCTGCACCCCACCATGTTGTTGGCCATGGTTTGTCCAGGGAGAATATTCTATAATTTGTTTGAAATGGCAGTTTTCTTAAGCTGTACTTCAGTTTTACAGGTTGTTTCTCTGGACTTGTTCACGGATGTAGTTTCTTGTGTTATTCCTGAACTTCTTCCAAATATCTACAGGCAAAAAAAGAGATTTGAACTTCTTTGGATTCCCAGCTCATGAGGAACCAAAGGGACATCCAGTCCTTTTGGATATTTGCCCAATTCAGGCTGCTGTAGGAAGGAAATTCTGACCTAAGAATTAAAGACACGCTAATGACTCAACACTTAATGAAGGCAAAAAAAGGAGTTAAGCATTTTTCAAGCATTGCACCTACCTCATCTCCCCACCCCAACTGTCCCCAGCTCCCCTTGTAAACTTTTACCACTTTAAACCCTTTCTTTAATTGCATCATAGGTCCCTTAAAGAGCCTGCCTGTCCTTAGGCAGAGCCAACAGCTCAGAGCCAGCACAGACACTAGAGAGTTTTAGAAGCTCCATTACTTCTATTAAATCCTTAGGCACCAGCTTCAGCAATCCTTCCAGAGGGGCACAGCTCTGCAGTGTCTCCTCTGCACGGTTTTTCTCCCTCAGGGCCTGGTTCACAGGCACTGGTACTGCCAGCAGCCTGGGCTGAGGGCACAGGGACCAGCTCATCGCCCTCATTACACCTTAGGGGCAGAGCTGGACAGGTAAATCCAACCAGAAAAGAGTTCAAGGAATCTGTTTCACATGAATTTCAGGTCAGTTTAATAACAAACACTCTGAGGTGAAGGTGACAAAGCAACTCCTCTATGCCAGCACTGAGACTTGGCTGGAACATGGGAGCTGGAAGGGGCTGGAATGGAATTCCAGGTACAGGGAGTGTCCAAAACCCCAAAAACATTCCCATTTGTTTTCCACCCTCCTTCAAAGAAAGCACTAGCATTCCTATCCTACTGGGCTCTGCAGAAACCAAGCAACAAGCTCAGGAGGTCAGGACCTGCTGGAAGCAACAAGCTTTATCCTGGAGAGATGGGAGAGCTGGAGAAGCTGCCCAGAAGCACAGCTGGAGTGAGCACCCTGTGCTGCTTGTTCAACTTCCTCAGCACCTTCCCCTCCTGTTACAAAACCAGGAAAACCACCCAAACAACTGACCCCAGCTGCCTGTTATTCCAATGTGTTACTGGTTCCCCTCAGGCAGCAAATTCAATCCAGCCCCAGCCAACTGTCCAGGTGTGGTGAGCAGGCTGCTGGTCCCACTGACCTGTGTCTGTTTTTGTTCTTTCGCTTTTTGTGGCTGCTGTGGTGGCTCCCAGAGGAAGTGGAGGAAGCAGCTTTCTGAGGCTTCACACCCTGCACGGAGCCATCCAGCTCTTCAGCATCCTCCTGGTTGGGCTCATTCTCCTGGTTGTGGAAGTCTGGAGAAGTGTCACTCTCTGTGCCACTGCCTGGCTCCCCTAGAGCAGGACAAACCCAGGTGAGCACCAGGGTGAGCTGCCCTTGGGAGAAACAACCCCAGAACAGCAGCAGAGACACCCGAGCCCTGCAGCACCAGGTGAACCACAGAACCTGGGAAACAACTCTGCAGGATGGACAGGAAGCTGCTCCTCAGCACTGAGGAACCACATCCTATTTGCTGCAGATTTGCTGCTGAAAAAAGTTTTGTATCCTGGAGGTGAGCAGTCCCTCCCCACACCTCCTGTGACTGACACATCTACAGCGATGCAGTGCTTCAGCTTGTCCAGCCTCTTCCTCCAAAGAACACCAAACCAATTTCAATCCCTTTTACACACAAAAAAGGCCCTGCTGAGTGCGGAAGGAACTTGGGAAGTCAACAGCCAGGAGAAGCCCGAGGGCAGCAAACACAGGGACTGGGAACAGGAGCCCAAGTCCAGCCCAGATCTGAAGGCTAGGACAAGGCTGAATGGTGGGGAGAGCGTAATCCTTCCCAAATTCAGAGAAAAACGACAGACTTACGCTTCTCAATGAGCTGGTCCTGGACTCCAGCTAATGCACTGACAGCCTGGAAAACCAAACAGGATGTCAAGCCAAGCAGGGATTCACTTCCCAATACCCAAAGCAGGGAGCCCAGGTCACACACTTCTCTCTGAAGTGCCCGTGGCCCCGTGTGACCCAGGGGGTCTGGGGCAGAGGCAAAGGAAGGGGGCAGCAGTGACAGCAGTGACAGGCATCCTCTCACCCCCCAGGTACCGGGAGAAAAGCTCTGGAAGAGGCTGCAGGGTGGGATGGGGATAAAACAGGAACAGGAATAGGGACAAGGAGAGAGATGGGAACGGAGACAGGGATGGGGACAGGGCTAAGGACAGGGGTGGGCACAGGGACGGCTATGGGGTCAGGGCTCATCCCGGCCCTCACCGCTGCTGAGGTGACCGAGGACTTGCTGAAGAGCCTCTCGGCCTCCTTGAACTTGCGGTTCCTCCGGTCGTTTTTGCTGTTGGAGTTCCTGAAACAGAGACAGGCGCGATGGCGGGGCCGGGCGGGC